CCTGTGACAATTTTTTCCCACTTCATAGTTGCCACTTCAAGAGTCACTGATTTAAGAGAATGATCTTACTTAGAAAACTGTGATTTCTCATGGAGATAAATGCTTTAGGGTAACTTTAATCTGTTCAAATTATTAAGCCATCAAATGGATTAGCCTACTGATGAGGTTCCAGCCCTCATAATCCAATTGTCTCACCTCTGAATGTCCTGGCTTGTCCCACACATGAACTTCCAGGGGACACCTCATATTCAAACCATAACAGCTAGCCCTCACTTTACTCCATTTGACCCAACACTAGGGTCTTTGGAGCTCAGGTGAAATAATCACCCATGTCCCCATCTAAACTGACTACTACCTGAGGGAAGTTTTGGCGAACATTTCCAGCTTTAGACTTTGCATCTTGTAGTTGTACATAATGAAACATATATCTTTGGTACTTGCATGGGAATCGATTTCTTCTCTCATATTCTCTCTTTTACCTCCACACATATCCTCATGTTTTCCTAATAAATGTACTTTTATGTGAAGTCTTAAATTAACATGAATTTAACTTTTAACTTTTTTTTTTTTTTGGTAAGTATTTTAGGAGCTTGTATCTACCACCCTGTTAACTGGCAATGAATGACATTTCACTAACATATTTCATTACCTTTCTCTTTTATTGCTCAGGATTCTGTGTTTCTTCCCATATGAGACCAAAATAGTTTGATTTTGAATTCTGATGAAAACCTCTGAAGAAAATTCACACTTTGGTTAGGTCTCTGGGGCTCAAAGCTTTCCCATTTGATGATGAGTTTGTCCTTTGCTTCATAACTCAGTCTTCTTTGATTTGTTCCTATTTAGGATCATTAAATTTTTAAAAAGGGCAGGGAACCTGTATTCATCAGAATTCTTTCAATGGTTTGAGATAGACTATGTAATTCAAATTATGTAAGCAAAATATTACTTATGGATTTAATGTGAAGAAAAAACTTTCAGTACTCAGCTTCAGACCCAGATGAATCTGGAGGGTCATACATTCTCATTTGGTCTCACTTTCTTTTAATTTCTCAGCTCTTCCTTAATTGTGTTAGCTGCTTTCTCAGGGAGTTGGGGGTCTCCTCTTTGGTGGTAAGATAACTTCTAGCATCTTTAAGCTCATACTTACTCCATTCAAAAAAGAGGTCCTTCTCCTACTCCCAAAACAAGTGTCTAAAAAGTACCCTGATATACCTCATAAGCTATCCCTGGGCTATTTTCTTTTCTTTTCTTTTCTTTTTTATTGGTTGTTCAAAACATTACAAAGCTCTTGACGTATCATATTTCATACATTAGATTCAAGTTGGTTATGAACTCCCAATTTTACCCCAAATACAGATTGCAGAATCACATCGGTTACACATCCACATTTTTACATAATGCCTTATTATTAACTGTTGTATTCTGCTACCTTTCTTATCCTCTACTATCCCCCCTCCCCTCCCCTCCCATCTTCTCTCTCTACCCCATCTACTGTAATTCATTTCTCTCCTTGTTTATTTTCCCTTTCCCCTCACAACCTCTTATGTGTAATTTTGTATAGCAATGAGGGTCTCCCTTCATTTCCATGCAATTTCCCTTTTCCTCCCACCTAATGTATCTGTTTAATGTTGATCTTTTCTTCCTGCTCTTCCTCCCTGCTCTGTTCTTAGTTGTTCTCATTATATCAAAGAAGACATTTGGTATTTGTTTTTGCTATTTTCTAGTCCAACATAAACTTCTGTTTTCATGAAGAAGAAATATGCTGAAATGGCTAAGATCTGAGTGATAGGCCAACTGATAGGCAGTGATCCGAAACAACTGTGCATCAAATGAAAGGTGGGCAGAGTGATTCCCCAGGGGATTTCAGGGTGCTCTGAATGGGAAAGGCAAATTGGTATGGGGAAGGCAAAACAGGACTAGCCAAGAGAAGAACATGCTCTGGTTCAGCGGAAGCATCAGAGTATCATCCTTTCCAGTAAACAACTTCCCATTATTAGCAAAAACCAGCACAAGTTTTCATTTACATAATGTACATTTAAAAAAGAGCCTCAGGTTTCCTTTACACTCTGCTTTTGGAAGAGATGATAACACTGGCCAAAAAGGAGAGAGAAGCAATAACTATAGGAGCAGGGATGCACTTCTTGCTGGAATCTGTTAAAAAAAAAAAAAATGGAAATTAGAGATGGGTTAGGTAGCAGGGATTTTTTTCTAAAATCAACAGCAACAAACTAGCTCATATTTCCTTTGATTCATTAGTTTTTTGAATCATTAACATAAAAATTTCTAATAAAAATGTTTGAAGTTAGCTAATTTTTCAAAAAGTATTCTCTTAGATTTTTTTAAGAGAATTCAACCTATTTATTTTGCAGATGATAAAACAGGTGTCAAGAGGTAAAGAGGTTGACTTCAGGTTGCCCAGCCAGTTGGGGATAGAAAGTCTGATTTAAGAGATCATCCGTTGACTTTCCTGGAGCTTAGATTCTCAGTCCTCATTGTATCTGACCGTCAGCCACACTGATCATAGTTAACCACTCCCTCCTCAATTCTTACTCTTCACTTTGTTCATGAGACAATGATTCTATTGATTTTCTCTTTTCTCACTGGCTGCTATTCCTCTTAGGTTTCTTTGCTTATTTCTTCTCATTTTTAACTTTTAATTTGTAGTGTGCTGAGGTTCAGTCCTTGGACATCTTCTTTCCTTTACTTGTACACATCCATGGAGAGCTCATCCAGTCTAGTGGCTTTAAATTGTGATTTAAATTTGTGTGAAGTCTTTCTTTT